CATAGGTAGAGTGTTTATGGTCCTTGGCGTCAAGAAACCCAGTTCGTTCAGTCTTGGCGATTTTTAAAAACGAGCGATCAACACCAAGAATTCCTGTCTGACGCCAACCGTACAACAGAACATCGAAGTCAATTAGGTAGTCTTCCGAGTGTTGCTTCAAATGGTCGTAGACGTCGTCGGGCATCGCAAACCCTGCAGCGGAAAGAATTTCTGGTCTCACGGTGATCTCGAGACTTGAATTGTTGGCCATGGTAATGCTGTATTCGTTGAGGGGTCAGTTGTACCTGAAGATCATAAGAAAACGAAAGTAGGTGAAGATCAAACAGTTAACACAATGAAAAATATGCCAGAAACTCCATCAAAATACCACAGCAAAACGAAAACAAATCCATATGTAAATGACACATACATTGAAGATTCACGCTACAGAGTGAGATGGGCGTAGTATTTGACGTTGAGAGATCTGTTTTACGTGAAGATAAAGGAAAACAAAAAAAAGTGGTGAACGTGAGTCAGTTGATATCCAGCAAATTCGAGACAACACAAGAACAACACAAAATTAAATCGACATGTTAATCACACTCACGTTGAAAAGTCAGGATGCTAGTTCTATGTTGATACTTTGACGTCGAGCGATCTGAATTACGATGTGAAGATTGAGAAAAAGAAAGTAGGTGAAGGTGACTCAGTTAAAATCCAGCCAATTCGAGACACCACATTAACAAACACAAAATTAAATCGTCATGTTATTCACACTCACGTTGAAGAGAGGTTGAAAGATCTGTTTTACGTGAAGAATGAGAAAGAAAAAGAAAAGGAGATGCAGGTCAACAAAGTAGTTTGGAATTTGAAGACATAACAGGTTTGATTTTTCCTGCAGCGTCGCTACAGTATCAACATTTGAGATCATGAATTTTGGGACAAGCAATAATGCACGTAGTGTGATGGAGGAGGAATGTGTGGGGAAGCACAGAAAAGACGCGAAAAGGACATATACACTCACAATAATTGAGACACAAGATTACTAATATGATAACACCATCAAACCAAAACGACACTGAAAGCCCCACAAGCGCGACAGGATGGGAACGTTAACGACGATATCTATTCAAATATGCCAAAGGAATGAATTCAAGATATGGTTAACAGTGCATCCGATAAAACTTCAAATGGACACTTTGTTATGGATCGGGAGAAAACAGGGAAAACGAGGGTGCAGATGGTGACGATACCTTTGCTCCACTGAAATGAAAACGCACCCAAATACGAATCTTGAAATACACGAGGCCAGAAGTTTGACACGCAGGAGTGGAAACGTTAAAATGATCGGAATGACAAGTTAAATAAGCTGGAAGTGTAAGAAAATGGTGGGAGATTAATAAAACGGGTCGTTGTTAAAGCAAGTTTCACAATGGAAGAACAAAAAACGCGCCGTTTTAAAGAAGATTGAAAACCATGCATAGTGTATGCAAAGTTAATGAATGAAAGAATGAAAACGGATATCCAGAGAAGTGGTTGACTCACATTTGTTGATGATAAATCTAGCTTTAATGAGTCCAATAATGCCGGGTCAACATCCAACAACCAAAGACAACAATAACAGCTGATGAAAAATCGACGACGAAATAAGTTTTGACTACAAGTTGAATGTGTAAAGTTGCAACCTCGTTGTTCTGATGTAAACTCGTTGTTCTGATGTGTAATGTGAATGCAAAGTTTCCATAAAAGAACAGTTTGGTCTGTAGGTAAATAACGTATAAACCCCATGAAATGCAATGTTTGAGAACGAGAAAATGCACCTGCAAGCTTGAGTTGACTGTTTTAATAATCGTCCAAAAATTCGAGTAGATTGAACTAGAAGTGGAAAAACTGAGTTTGGATTGGAGGGAAAAAAAGGTTGCACGTTAGCAGGTATGGAAGGCCACAAACCCCTGAAAATGAACCGATCAACCAATCCCAACGATCGATCCATCAATCCATCGACAATACCCAGACATTCCATTCATCGTTCGTTCACAACACAAAAGTATTTTCCACTCAACAGAAGTTTACAGTGCTGTTTCAAAGCTTCAATGCAGCAAAGTCATCTTTGATGCAAATGTGCTTGCATATCTCAACCGCTTTTGAATTCCTTTTGATATGTCCTTGTTTGATGATGGCAAAGAGACGATGGAATTGTTGGGGCAATGTCTCGAGTTGTTTGATTTGATGCTGCAAGATGCATGCTTACTTGGGAGTAACGACCACACAGGTGATGATGACGTACGGGAGAGAGGGGGGGAGATAACAGGTGTCGACGAAAAAGTTCCAAGTCGAAAAAAAAATCGTGCCAAAACACACGTCGACAAGGTGGATTTTTTGGACACTTTAGAAATAAAAACAAAAATTCTTCAAGACTCGTTCATCTATCTTTTTGTAGGTCCCATGAGAGCTTTAACTGATGAACGATATTTAACATTCCTTATAATGCACGGCAAGAGTACCGTGGCTGCGATTTACAAGCTTATGCAGATGTACTTTGATTTGTGTGAATTGATGAGTCCTCGACATAATCCATTACAAGCTTTGTTATCAATAAAAATTATGGTACACGAGGTGAAAATAGATCAAGTGTTGAAGGTTACAATGATACAGAGCGGGGAATGAGTGTAAAGAAGGCAACAAAAACAACCAGATACATGGCTCACGTCTAAACGGGGAAAGTGAAATGCGTGGGTTTTGTTCAACATTGGGGGTAAACACGGGCATGAATGGTCTACTAAATACATAGCCAATGTCAAGGCAACAAAGGTCGACACAATACACGGCGAGTGTTAGCGTTGGTTTATTTTTCAATATAGGGTGTGAGGTAAATAGGAGGGGTCACGTTGAGTCCGGAGTTTAAAAGGCGTTTTGTGGGGAAGGCGATGTTTAACTTTCAGACGACACCCAATCCGTAAAGGGCTTGATTGCCGAAAAGGAAATTTGGAAAACAGAAAGGTCCTTTTTGACAAAATGGTGGAGATTGGGAAAACAGACGATGACCGTATTTACTTACCCTACCCTTGAGCTCCTTGCTATCGAGTTCCCATCCTTCTTTCTTCCTGCTTTTCTTTATTTTGTTGTTGTTGCTTCATGACCGTCCCACTGCTGTTTTGATGTTGTCTGATGACGAGTATGAGGATAAGGTTGTCGTTGTCGTTGTTTGCTGTTTGATGTTGTTTTCATAACGATCTTGTGGCAGTTTGCTTGTGTTCTCGGGTGATTACTGCTTATGTTGTTTGACGATGGTCTTGTGTCTGATGTCGTTATACTGAACCGTAAGTCAGAATCTGTTATTTCATGATAGTTTGATAGTTTGCGCTGCTGCTGTTGTTTTTCCTCTTGATGATAGTTACATATTTGAAATCGTTGTTATCAATCGTTGATCACGGTCATAATCTGCAAAATTAACAAACCTCTCACCTTCTGAAGTCCTGTGCTGTCTGCTATAGGAAGGTCCTACACCAGTATCTGCATAGATTCATGCTGCCACTATCCCGTTAGATAAGCTGTCCCATCAATGCTGTCACCCACATTGCAGTGTGGCCACCTCGTTCCAACAGGCCCTCTATCCAGATTTGTTTGCCTCATCTTTTTCATCTTGTCGAATCCAAAAGACTTTTTTGGCGATAAAATTTTTGGGATGTTGACCAAGATAGATCTAATTCGCTTGTCGACGACAATATATAACTGATGAATATCCATCCAATCGACGTGATCGCTCATTGAATCCCGGCGTATTCACCATTGCTCCGCAACCCCCAATGACCAAAATTGTCTGCGTTAATATTAATAAAAGTGCAAGCTATTATGAATATTGCCTCCCAAAAAAATTTTCAGTGGCTGCCTAAACCAAACAATATCACCGCTACAGTTAAAACGCGCATATCTCGCGCACTACATGATATTGACGTCGTTGAACTATCAAAAGGTGCGTATTTGAAAGGGCGATCTAACAAAGTTAAAAAAAATTAAAAGTTAATTTGCAGCAAAACGAGAAAAAATGTGCTCCGTGTGGGGATTGATCCCACGATCTTCTGCTTACGAGGCAGACGCCTTGCCACTGGGCCAACAGAGCTTTTTTGATTGCCTTTTTCCAGAGCGTATTAATATACCCCATGTGTGCATGGATTTGTAATTTGCATGTTTAACGCAGTTTTTGTGCATATTCATATGTCGATGCTATTGAAAGGCTACTCGCGAGGAACACAAACCTTGTGTGTGG